CCTGAGTCAGCTGGGATAGACTCCAGCCCCCCATGACCCTAGTGAGGATTAAGTGGTGTATAGATGATGGATGGATGGATGCATTTAGTTTTCCTTTTTTTTTGTAAGTCTGTATAGTGGTATAAGCATGTCTATATGTTAAACAGAGTTGGTAGATCTTAATCCTGAATCATAAATAATAAAGATGCATTGCTATTTATGTTAAGTGTCCATGACAAAACAAACAAAAAAAACCCCCAACAAAACTCTCAAAAGACAACTGGTGACCACAGCTCACACTGTTTTACTGTGATTTTACAAGAAATGTTGTTGTATTACTATTTTAAAGACGCTGTCATTGATTTAACTGGTTAATTGTTCGTAGAGATAATAAACTATAACCGCATTAAAAAAAAACTAATATGAGCTTTTTAAAATAAAAAACAAAAAACGGTGGGGTACACTGTAAGAGCAAACATCTGTAAAAAACAAAAATCAAAAAAACATTGTGAACATTTGGCGGCAAGGACACCAGAAAAAAGTAAGTGTGTATTCAGCTTTAAACACGTGTGCATTAGTACTTTTTTCCCTGTGATTTTGTGAGATATGATCTGTATTTGAACAAAACATGTGAAAAAATTTGTAAAATAACAATTTAAAACATTATTTGTCATTTTTCATTTCTCACTATATATATATATGCTTTAAAATAAAGGCTTCAAATAATATCTAGAAATTAAAAACATTTTGCTGATTTTAATTTAGAAAGAAACTGAATAGCTGATTTAAGCAGAGTAGAGTGTAAATGTATGGCCTAACAGTATAAAAGAACAAATTACCATTTCTGAAAATACAGACTTTTGATGTTGACATTACAGTTTTAATTGTTTTTTTTCCCCCTAAATGTAAATTAATACTTTTTTCTGTGGTTTTACGAGTTATTTTCTGTAATTTAATGAAACAAAATTTGTATAATAATAATAATACTACTACTAATAAAATAAACCAAAACAGTAAATTGTTCAAAACATTACAGATAAACCATTTTAATCAATGTTTCACAGTGTAGATGAGTCAATGTTTGTGTCTGACTGGCATAAATGTGATTATTCATGTGATGCTGCCCTTCTATGCTGTTCCTACACTT